AGAAATAAGAAGTACTATTTCTACCCTTAAAGATGTGATACACTTTTTTCGCGAATCAATGACACACAAGAATTATGCTCCTGATATATCACGTTTGTGTGAAACAAGATGGTCGGAAAAATATAAGGCTATAAAGAAATTTTCAGAATATTTTCCTGAAGTTGTGAAGGCTTTAGAAAAGTTGTCAATTCAGCCAAACTTTTCCGCAAGAAAGTCTGCGTATCAATTGTGTGCTGCTATAACAAGGCCGATGTTCCTAATTGCTTTGATGACAATTGCTAGTTTCTGGAACCTACAGCAAACATTTCGCAAATGAAGACATAGACCTCATCGCCGTTGAACAGCATATTGAAAATATTTTGGAGGTGGTTAAGAATGATCGAAAGAATGAAGAAGGAGGCACTACGGAGTTAATTAAAAAGTCTCGTATGATTGCAGCTGATCTAGGAGGAAGGTAAACAAAAAAAAACTGAAGTAACCCCCATCTTGCAATGAATATGAGTACTGGCAACGGTCTATCATAATACCGTATCTGGATTAACTAACGGTCTCTTTACAACTACGCTTTTCCAATGAAAATACTCCAGCTTTTTCGCTGTCTAGATTGCGGCCATTGTATGTGTGCCAGTGAAAAGGTACAAAAGAACTGGAAGCATTTTCAACAGATCTATGATATAGGTATGGGAAGTGAACTCATTCTTGGGTACAATTTGTGGAAGAAAAAGAACTTGTCCGAAGAAGATTTGAAAGATGTTGAAGTTGGAGATCTATTTAAAGAAGAAAACGAATATCTAACAAAGTTTGCTGAAAATCGTTGTTAGCGTGAAAATGATTAAATAAAAAATATATCATAAAAAATTAACAAGTATCCTTCGTTTTGTCTCCCCCCCGCCCCCCCCACATACTTATGTGCATACCGGAATTTCCGGTTTTCTTTTTAGCTCTTTACTGCAAATTCTTACCCAGTTCGTTAGCAGGCAAAACATTCGATGCAATAGTTCGACACATCGGATGAGCCATCGATCTCGGTGCGCTGATTCCGACGGATAAATACATTAGCCAGTTTGTGTTAGCAAATGCCCTGATCAACGAGCCAGCTGACTCACTGAGGAATGCAAAAATACCCAGATAGACAATGGATAACTTGAGTAACTAAAATGGTTGTAAAGGGGAATAGGGTTAAACCACAAACAATGTATATATTAATGCCCCATTGAGTACTTACTCTTCTTAAAATAATTACACCCAAGATGTTGCCCAACAGCGACACGAATATATTGATTGTATCGAAAGTGTTAAACTCCTTAATCGTCCAATGGAATGTCTCGCGTGCGAACAAATAAAAAACTGTCATAGAACCATCTACGCACATTTCGAGGATTTAAATAGTCAATCAACTATTTCTGTGCTTAAAATAAATTGCTTACCCAACACAAAAACCGATATCAGATGGGCAATCGCCGCTAGCCAAATGATGGCGCGATCGTTACGTTCGCGTGGCTTGAAACAAGTTTCCCACATTTCCATTACCGCTGCGAAATTGAATAATTTCCTTTGTTGGTGCGACTCACCTACAGCCTGTGGCTGCTGATCTTCCTCTCCAATTTCTGATGTTTGATTTACGAAAACATTATGAGTGAAATCAAAGCGTCGTCTATGTAGACTCTCCGGAATGAAGAATACTATTATACAAACGGCAACAAAAATGCAAATGCACGATGTTAGAAAAACAAATGTCGCATTGGAGGCTTCGTAAAGAAAGCCTGCTACGAATGATCCGGTCATGAGGCCTGTGAAAAGTGCAGCTTCATATGTTGCCATGCTGAAAGCAGCAGATCGAACGGATTTTAGCCTTAGAAGTGATAAATCCCTATAAACTCACCGATATGGTCGCTCCTGCGCACTAGACACATCAGAAATATAACAAAAGGTAGCCACTGAGTATGTAACACTACCTCCGACCAACGAAAGTGGCAGCACTGCTAATAAATAATACCACGGACTAACGAGGCGAGAAGTTGAGAGTCGCGAAATTATGGCTGCTATGGCATAATATAGAGCATAACCTGCAAAAGGCTTAAACGCTTAAGTAACAATTTATCTATGAGGTCATCATCGATTACCCACCGCTATATCCTGTGACCAAAAGTGGTTTGCGTCCAAAATGATCCGACCAAGCTCCGATAAAGACACCACAAAACGCTGGTATCAAACCTTCAATGAGTGTGGAAGTCATAAAGATTCGAGCAGCATATGGTTGGATGGTGGTCTCAATGTTCTGCAGCAAATGTGGACATGGAAGACAAGATAAAATGTACAATAACTATTTTAACTAAGCCGAGTTTCTCTTTCTGACCGATTTCCAAAAAAAATTAGGCTATCAGTTCATCGAAATATTTTTATCTTCTTCTTTTTTATGTATGTTGCCGGTTAACTTTGGACCACGTGCAAGCACAAATGAACTCTGTGAAGAGAAGCCAAGCTAAAGCCCTGTATGCAGCTCTCAAGAAAACGGCCAAGAAAAAATTGGCATTATTTCGTGTGTGTGCCCATGGAATTTTGACATTTTTGATACTTCACAGCCTGTTGCCTCACTCTTTCCTGAAGAAATAATGGAACGGGCATATATTTCTGTTGCAAACCTTGGTTGCCTTGTGCTCTTTTTTCACAAAAAACTTTAGAAAACCGTAGTAAATTCCTTAAGAACTGCGTACTGCCTTAAGGAAATTTGACTCCAGAAAATTTCTTAGCCATTTCTTGTACGTCATTTTATATGGAATTTTTGCTTTTCTTGAGAGCTGCATAAAGGCCTTAATATATAAAAAATCTCAAGTCACGGTGTTAGTGGTCGAACTCCTTCTAAACGGCTTGACCGATCTTTATTAAATTGTGTGTGTATGGTAAGTACGAGAATCGGATGTAAAGTATATTTCATGCCGCTAGGTGCAGGGAGCGGGCACCTCCCATACAAACCGAATTTTTCATACTGCATACCTCCGGCAATGGCACGGTAGAGTACTGGAATTTGGCGATTAGGATGTCCCTATCCTAAAAAAATTTTCTCTATTTTTTTTTGTTTTAAAATTTTTAGTAAATTTGTATGAAAAATCTAATATATAAAAATATCGTGTCGTAATTTCAGACATTGGTTCTAATAATTTTATATTTTATTATTTTTATAATTTTCTGGAATCATGAGAAAGATAACATATTATATTTTTGTACAAGAATTTAATGGACAGTTGGTGTACCACAGTAACCAATGTCAATGGCACTTCGTTTTGAAACCTATAATAAACGTTCAAAAATTTTATTCAACTTTTTCCTAATTTTTTTGAATATAAAATAAAAACAAATAAAATTATATAAAAAACGATAAGTGACCATCAATTCAAGGTGCAGGAATGGTATTTTCAGATATATATCGAAATTTCCTAACATTAAACTAAGGGGTTTACGGCGAACTTTTTTTTCCTTTTATGTATGTACATTAGGCTGTGCGAAGAATATATGGAAAAAAATTTTTTGCAAATTTTGATATGCACACCCTCGGTATTTGTACTTTTTAGCCTAAATAACATATTTATGAAGTTTAATGGCCGTAGGATAACGATAACCCGTGCCGACCTTAAGTTAAAGTTTTTGTTAATAACTTGAATTAGGGCTACCAAAACGTCCAGGAAAACTTTGGAAATGCGAAAAATTCAATGTTTCCCATATTTAAACGAATTTCTAGTAAATATGCATCTTTACATTTTTAATAGGACGGCAGGATTTCTGGCAAGGATTTCGAAAAAATTAATTAACTGAAAAAGTACCGTAGCTTTGTAAGGTTGTATTACAAGGCTGCAAAACGATATGTTTTCTTGTCGAATAATTTATGTAATTATGTCTTGAAAATTTGCAATTGTAGAACATTATTATATTGGTGTTACAGGGCGTATGTTGAGCATTAAATTATTAAGCTCAACTTTTTTACAAATTTTTTTCCTACCTTAAAAAGCCTTCCATAATATTAAATAAACAAAAGTGTATATAATAAAAAAGTGTAGTAGTGTTTCGACATGCCCTCTCGGGTTGATTAAGGAAAAAATGTGGAAGTATTAATTAAAAAATTTTAAATATATCCTTTGAGTTTTTTATCCTTTAATATCCTTATTTATTTTTATAAATCAAACTTAGATTCTTCTAAATACATTCAGAATTAAAAAAAGGATAATTGAATATAAAAGTTATAACTAATATTGTTTTGAATTTTTCTTTTAATTAAATATATCCATATTTTGTGTAAACTTTTGGAAATACATATATTATAATTTATGCACCTTTGGAAAAAATTCCGACTACTTGGTAAAAAACTAAAAACGCAAGTTTACTAATTCTTATGAAATGAGTATTTAAGTTAACATAACACGCGAACCGCACAAAGATTATTCTGATAACTTTGACTGCAAGTCGGCACAGGTTGCCGTGGTCCGATTTGCATAAAATTAAATTCGGAGAGTTTTTAAGACAAAACCAGTAAAATTAGGGAGTACCGTTAAAAAAACGCACTTTGTGTTTTGGGGGCAGTCTAATGTACATGCATACATACCCATGCATATTTGTTTTTTTTTTTTTTATTTACTTCAACCCTTTCCTTATGCTAACATATTATGAGCAATTTAATTTAAGAAAATGTGCTTTGATTCGCATATTTGTTGAAATAATTTAATCTACTAATTGCATATATAGTACATACATATGTATTTAACTATTTATATATATGTATATATATAAGTATGTTTTATATGCCTAAGCAATCTGCCGGCAAATATTTTATAAATTCTCAGTCGACCTACACAAACTATATGCACATATGTATGTATGTATGTACATACATACATGCAGAAAAAAATTGCATTATTGTATTGGCACAGTGTGTCCCAGAACTTAGCATACATCTGATGTTTGGAAAATAGGAATGGAAAAATATGTACCTTCGTAGGCATTCAAATATTTTCGGCCTTCCAGTGCTTTGGGGGGGCAATTGCGTTTTTTGTACAATACGAAATTAAATATCTACATACATACATATCACGATGTAGCAAACAAAGGTGGCGCATCCGCTAGCCGCTGCTTTGCCGATTTTGATAATTCTTAAGTAAACGTAAACAACGCCGCAGAAACTTTAAATCCACTGAAATTAACTATTATCCAATTTAGCGAACTAAACAGATTCGGCTTCCATGGCATAGTGGTTAGTGGTACCAGCAATCGGTAGAGCCAAAGTACTCTTTTGCCCGAGCAAAATTTAAAAAGCACAAATGCATTCGCTCTCGGCAAGAAATGGCTAACGAAGCTAATTACTTTCTAAAAATTCTGAATGAAAAATTTTCTCTGAACTGTAGACTTTTTTCCTGTTAAACTTACTCCTTATGGCGTTTTGCCAGTGTCAGTGTCCTCTACGCATAAATACTAAGGAAAGGGCACTGAGAAGGCAACATTTTTCGGGAGAAAAGAAAACGGAATTAGTGAATTGGGAAAAATCACTCGGAGGTAGAAAGTTTTATAGTTGTTTAATTCTCACACCAAAATTATTCCAGGCAAAAGATTTGCAGATTATCACACAAATGTTGGAATTTAAATCTTTACCTCGACTTCGATTCGCAATCGGAGGTTTGCCATTTCTTGGCGAGAGCGAATGCATTTCTGCTTTAAAAATTTTGCTCGGGCAAAAAGAGTACTTGGGCTCTACCGATTGTTGGTACCACTAACCACTATGCCATGGAAGCCGAATCTGTTTAGTATGTATATTAGAGTACCATTGTCGATTTTTCGGATTACTATTTTATAGCACTTCTGATTCCCGGATCTAGTAGATTTGCTCAAGTAAGAGTAAACAAAGCCGAATAAGAGCATATATATATAAGAGCATACTGTCAAAACAGTAAATTTTTTAATACTAAATTTTTCGATAGGACACGTTGTTTAATTTTGTTAAATTAAAAAAAAAATATATGATTTATAAAAATAATTAGTAAAGAAAATGTAAATAACGGCGATTTTTGTGAAAGTATTAGTTAATTTCAGTGGATTTAAAGTTTCTGCGGCGTTGTTTACTTTTACTTGAGAATTATCAAAATCGGCAAAGCAGCGGCTAGCGGATGCGCCACCTTTGTTTGCTACATCGTGATATGTATGTATGTAGATATTTAATTTCGTATTGTACAAAAAACGCAATTGCCCCCCGAAGCGCTGGAAGTTCGAAAATATTTGAATGCCTACGAAGGTACATATTTTTCCATTCCTATTTTCCAAACATCAGATGTATGCTAAGTTCTGGGACACACTGTGCCAATACAATAATGCAATTTTTTTCTGCATGTATGTATGTACATACATACATACATATGTGCATATAGTTTGTGTAGGTCGACTGAGAATTTATAAAATATTTGCCGGCAGATTGCTTAGGCATATAAAACATACTTATATATATACATATATATAAATACTTAAATACATATGTATGTACTATATATGCAATTAGTAGATTAAATTATTGCAATAAATATGCGAATCAAAGCACATTTTCTTAAATTAAATTGCTCATAATATGTTAGCATAAGGAAAGGGTTGAAGTAAATAAAAAAAAAGAAACAAATATGCATGGGTATGTATGCATGTACATTAGACTGCCCGCAAAACACAAAGTGCGTTTTTTTAACGGTACTCCCTCATTTTACTGGTTTTGTCTTAAAAACTCTGCGAATTTAATTTTATGCAAATCGGACCACGGCAACCTGTGCCGACTTGCGGTCAAAGTTATCAGAATAATCTTTGTGCGGTTCGCGTGTTATGTTAACTTAAATACTCATTTCATAATAATTAGTAAACTTGCGTTTTTAGTTTTTTACCAAGTAGTCGGAATTTTTTCCAAAGGTGCATAAATTATAGTATATTTCCAAAAGTTTACACTAAATATGGATATATTTAATTAAAAGAAAAATTCAAAACAATATTAGTTATAACTCTTATTTTCAATTGTCCGTTTGCAATGTCAGAAATGTCCTTTAAAAAAAACAATCTTTCAAGATTTTTAGTTCTGAATGCAATTTGAAGAATCTAAGTTTAATTTATAAATATATATAGGGATATTAAAGAATAAAAAACTCAAAGGATATTTTTCAAATTTTTTAATTAATTCTTCCACATTTTTCCTTTAATCAACCCGAGAGGACATGTCAAAACACTACTACACTTTTGTTTATTTAATATTATGGAAGGCTTTTTAAGGTAGGAAAAAAA